AGAGACAAAATTGTAGACCTGCACAAGGCTGGAATGGGCTACAAAACCATTAGCAAGAAGCTGGGAGAGAAGGTGACAACTGTTTGTGCAATTGTTCGAAAATGGAAGGAGTACAAAATGACCATCAATTGACCTTGGTCTGGGGCTCCACGCAAGATCTCACCTTGTGGGGTGTCAATGATTCTGAGAATGGTGAGAAATCATCCTAGAACTACACGGGAGGAGTTAGTTAATGACCTCAAAGTAGCTGGGACCACAGTCACCAAGAAAACCATTGGAAACACATTACACCGCAATGGATTAAAATCCTGCAGTGCTTGCAAGGTCCCCCTGCTCAAGAAGGCACATGTGCAGGCCCATCTGAAGTTTGCCAATGAACACCTGAAAGATTCAGAGAGTGACTGGGAGAAGGTGCTGTGGTCAGATGAGACCAAAACTGAGCTCTTTGGCATTAACTCAACTTGCCTTGTTTGGAGGAAGAAAAATGCTGCCTATGACCCCCAAAACACCGTCCCCACCGTCAAGCATGGAGGTGGAAACATTTTGATTTGGGGGTGTTTTTCTGCTAAGGGCACAGGACAACTTCACCGCATCAACAGGAAAATGGACGGAGCCATGTATCGTGAAATCCTGAGCGACAACCTCCTTCCCTCTGCCAGGAAACTGAAAATGGGTCGTGGATGGGTGTTCCAGCACGACAATGACCCAAAACATACAGCAAAGGCAACAAAGGAGTGGCTCAAGAAGAAGCCCATTAAGGTCATGGAGTGGTCTAGTCAGTCTCTGGACCTTAATCCAATAGAAATCCTATGGAGGGAGCTGAAGCTCAAAGTTGCACAGAGACAGCCTTGAAACCTTAGTGGATTAGAGATGATCTGCAAAGAGGAGTGGACCAAAATTCCTCCTAAAATGTGCGCAAACTTGGTCATTGTCACGCCCAGCTCCGTACGATCCTCGTGTGTGCCACGCCCACCTCGTTACCTCGTGTTAACTCCTGATTGTACTCGCCTGTTGCCTATTCCTTTTGCCTTGTCTTGAGTATTTAGTCCGTGTCTCAGTCAGTATTCCCCAGTTCTGTCATTGTAAATGTTAGTTGTCGTGCTTCCCCGGTCCTGTTTCCTGAATAAACCCCGTTTACCCGTCTATCCGGCTGATCTCGCCTGCTTTCCTGCTCACCCACTCCACCGACCTGACAGTCATCAATTACAAGAAACGTTTGACCTCTGTGCTTGCAAACAAGGGTTTTGCCACTAAGTATTAAGTCTTTTTTTGTTAGAGGGTTCAAATACTTATTTCACTCCATGAAATGCAAATCAGTTTCTATCTTTTATTTAGAGTTATTTTTTCAATTTTCCTTTTGATGTGCTATCTGTCACTGTTAAAATAAACCCACCATTGAATTGATACTGTTCTGAGACTTTTCATTTCCTTGTCATTGGACAAACATACAAAATCAGTGAGGGGTCAAATAATTATTTCCTCCACTGTATATATGTTTATAATAAAGTTTAAATATCATCTGTCAATATCAGCCAAGATTGACACATCAAACTGATGCCAAAATCTTTATTTTTATTGATTAATTATTATTGATCTTGTCATCACGATAACTAAAATTATTTGTCCCAACTTTTTCAAATTTGCAGTTACATTTTATGAGTGTATAGGTCCTTTATTGTCCCCATGGGGAAATTCTTTTTCAGCCTCCCTGAACTTGCTCTTTGTAGAGTAAGCTGTCTGCGAAGGCCAGCCACCTGTTGGTGCACCCAGGGAACTGGGGGTTAGGGGCCTTGCTCAAGGACTCACAGACGTGCTGAGGCTGGATTTCAACCAGCGATCTTGTGATTACAGGTACACAGGCTTAGCCCACTGAGCCACACGCGGCCACCTGTAAGGTAGGCTTGTAATAATACAATTAGTCGTAGTTCATCCCCAAGCAAATTTTATTGTTGTAGATCTAGAAAGGTGGGGGTGGCCTACCTTATTTCTTAAAATCAAAAGTGGCAACTTTAGTTATATTTGGAAAAACACAACTTTTTTACTCAAAACAATTAAATGATACACAGTAAGATGATGAGTGAGTATATTATGAGTATATGGGGCCCTCTGAGCTCAAGGGCTCACTCACCGGCACTGCAGCTCCAATAGGCTTTGCTCAGCATGTTGCAAGCTCTCTAGATCCTTCATCATCCGTGAGATGTGTACCTTGGAGGACTTGTTTTGCACGTATGCAAACCAACAGCCACCAACCCCAATGACAATGGAGACCATCAGAATGAGGTCTTTCAGCCAGTTATGTTGGGGACCTGGAGCAAAATCACAAAAAGGACATGGTATGTGTGATATATCTGTAGAAAATAATTTCATCAGAGAAATTAAGCAGCTTGTTTCCACATACATATTGACTTGCAACTGAGTTCTGTTCTGACAGACAGGTCGTACATCGGAATTTATATATACAGTATTGACTTCTAACATGAAAAAATAGGTTCTCAGTAGCGCTGGGTGATATATCTCAAAATTTACATCACAATATTTGTGGACCAAGTGTTGATGTTCGATAAGCAACAATATTTTCCCCATACAATTCACTAAAGAAGAAGTTGTATCTTTATTTGGTCCTTGTGTTTACTTAGATCAAATTTCACAGTAACAACTTTAAATAAGATTACCATAGACATACAAACAAAGAAAATAATAAAAAAAGACTCTGTCAGTGTTTGTAGGAGTAAGTGCTTTCACTCTTATGCAGATTTTCTATAAAGTAACAAGAAAAGTGTCACTTTTAAAGCTATATTATGGCAGGGACAATCATGACTTCAGAAATTCTGTTAAATACAAGCTGTAGTACATTATGGCAGTTGTTATTTACTTACATTTAGGACTTGTCATTTCATATGGCATGTAATAAGAGAACGTTGCTGTCAGAGTGCCTTGTTATGCACCACTGGTGTGTTTCCTTGCATCTTAAGAAGAAACTTCGAGGTGTGTAATGAACTCCTTGTACTTTATGTGTTTTGTTTTCAAATGATTGAATAGGTCTGTTATGTTGCTGGTCTTCGTTCCTACTTCCCTTATGCAAAGCTTTGTTCCATATCACTCTCTCTAAAGCCGAACCATTCTCAAACAACATTGCCACAATGTGTTTTGGGATTAAAAAATCCCAGACAGCATTACTTGCTTCTTCCTCATTCTCTGCCATTGCATGTATGGTCAAGGTAAATAGGGGAGGCTTGTCACAATGAGGAGTGTATTTAAAATGAGTGGCCAATGTGCTTGCAAAATTTCTAAGGATTTTAACGAAATTAATATATCATGATAATTTCCTTTCCAAATGATGCATTTAAAAGAATCATTCATATCGCGGGACTCGATATATCGCCAAGCACAAGTTCTCAGGCTTCAAAGAAATTTGTTCTATCCATTTTCTGTAATTGATTATCCTATTCAGGGCTGTAGGGGGTCTGAACCTAAGCGTGCAAGTCAGGGAACTACACAGGATGTGGGGCACACTGACAAACCATTCACTCACATATGCACACCTATGGGCATTTTGGTAATTCCAATTAACCTCAGCATGTTCTTGGACTGTGGGGGGAGGGGGGGTACTGGAGTACCAGGAGGAAACCAAATGGTGACAGAGGTAGAACATGAAAACTCCACACACAGAGCCATGGCGGAGACTTAAACCCTGGTTCCATAGGTGTGAGGTAATGGTGCTAACCACTGCGCCACCATGCTGCCCCCCAAAATAGTTAGTTATTTATGTTATATAATACAGGGGGTCCTCGGGTTATGACGTCTCGACATACAATATTTCGAGTTTACGATGCTCACTCCCATAAACTTTAACAAATTGAGACATAAGTGTTTCGGCTTACGTTTTTAGCATTGTACTTAAGGACTACGTGGGCAAATTAGTTTGGTTGCGCATGTTGGAAGAATATGCAGTAACGCAGCATATGAATGAGGGAGTTGGCGTCTCCCAGTACACTTACCAACGCCATTTTGGACTGTTAAAAGTCACTGTCGTAAGAACGGAACTGTGTTGTAACCCGAGGACCCCCCATATGTATAATCAAAATAGAGTTAAAAAGTCATAGGACCCTATCAATCTAAAGCACATGGACTGAAACTAGGATGTTCATCTAATCCTTGTCTGGGGGACACAGTGAGCTACTTCAGGTTTTACAAACTGCTTTAAAACTGAAAGGCTCCTGTGCTTGGCTAATTATTTCAATTATTCTTGTGCTTATACTGCTTTGTTTCCTTGATTGAAAAACTCATCCAGCTGTTTCACATTAACAGTAGTGACATGCATGATTATGGAAAACTGACCAATCAGCACACAGCAAAAACTCAGTGTTAAAGTGAAATCCAAGTCTTTTTAATTGAAATGGTATTTTACAAACCCTATCTCAACTTATAGTTCCTTCCTTTAAATCAGAGCTAGATAAGATTTTAACAACTCTAAGCTGTTAGTTAAGTTCTCCCCAAACAAGCTTGATGGGCCGAATGGCCCCTTCTCGTTTGTAAATTTCTTAGTGTCCCCCTGTCATCGATTAGTTCAAGGGTTGGCAACCTGCCGCTCTTTCAGCATGAGGCTGCAACTCTTCTCAGAACGATAGACGCATTCACATTTTCATGTCTTAACATATTATGATAATACTTTCGTAATATAAATAATTATTATTTATGGGTTAATATTATTATTTTTCATTTAGATATTTCTTTAGCTATATGTGAATGAGGCGGTCCGTCGCACACTTCTGTGATGTCTTAACTACATAATTTACATCTTCCTCAAACTTATTCTCTACAATGACATATCCGGTCAAATTGTATGTTTTCCGCAGTTTTCTTCAGTGTCCGAGATTGGATGTATCATTCAAAGTTTATTGGGATTCCAAATTCTTTCATATACTTTTTCTAGTAAATCATCATCATGCTTTCCCAGGTCCTCGTAAAATTTTATATTTTCTCCAATTTACATATTATAGCCAGCTGAGTTCGGAGTGGTGAGTACATTTTGCTCTGCTCGGTCAGCACAGTTACAAGTAGTAAAGTGGAGAGTGAAGGCCAAACAACTGCAGAGCCAAACTAACTTTACTCAAGGAAGAAGGGGTGAGGGTGAAGACTATCGCTACAGAATTGAACGATATTGTGATATTAGTCACCTTTGCGCTGTTACACATCCAAGTGATTAAAACTAAGAGCCCCCCTTCCTGCCCCAAAATTGTTTTTCTTTATTTTTTGTAAGTACTCAAAGTTTTGTTTTTGTGTTAAATGCATGTTATATCACATTTAAAAATCGTATGTCAAACTCTCTTCGCTATCCATTGTGGCTCTTTGTAAATCCATCCATCCATTCACTTCCGCTTATCCGAGGTCAGGTCGCGGGGGCAGCAGTCTCAGCAGGGAAACCCAGACTTCCCTCTCCCCGGGCACTTCCTCCAGCTCCTCTGGGGAAATCCCAAGGTGTTCCCAGGCCAGCGGAGAGACATAGTCTCTCCAGCGTGTCCTGAGTCTTCCCCGGGACCTTCTCTCAGTGGGACATGCCCGGAACACCTCACCAGGGAGGCGTCCAGGAGGCATTCTCCCGCTCCATCCTTCCCTCACTCGTGAACAAGACCCCGAGATACTTAAACTCCTCCATTTGGGGAAGGACCCCCTCCCCGACCCAAAGAGAGCACTCCACCCTTTTCCGGCTGAGGACCATGGTCTCGGATTTGGAGGTGCTGATTTTCATACCAGCCGCTTCACATTCGGCTGAGAACTGTTCCAGTGAGAGCCGAAGGTCACGGTCTGATGAGGCCAACAGAACCACATCATCTGCAAAAAGCAGAGACCTAATCCTGAGGTCACCAAACCGGACACCCTCAACACCCTGGCTGCGCCTAGAAATTCTGTCCATAAAGGTTATGAACAGAATCGGTGATAAAGGGCAGCCCTGGCGGAGTCCAACCCTCACCGGGAACGAGTCCGACTTACTGCCGACAATGCAGACCAAGCTCTGACACCGGTTGTACAGGGACCGAACAGCCTTATAAGGCAGCCTGGCACCCCATACTCCCGGAGCACTCCCCACAGGATTCCCCGAGGGACGCGGTCGAATGCCTTCTCCAAGTCCACAAAGCACATGTACACTGGTTGGGCAAACTCCCACGCACCCTCCAGGACCCTGCCGAGAGTGTTGAACTGGTCCACTGTTCCACGGCCAGGGTGAAAACCACACTGCTCCTCCTGAATCCAAGGTTCGACAATCCGGTGGACCCTTCTCTCTAGCACCCCTGCATAGACCTTACCAGGGAGGCTGAGGAGTGTGATCCCCCTATAGTTGGAACACACCCTCCGGTCCCCCTTCTTGAAGAGGGGGACCACTACCCCGGTCTGCCAATCCTGAGGCACCGCCCCCTGATGTCCACGCGATGCCGCAGACGCATGTCAACCATGACAGCCCTGCAACATCCAGAGCCTTGAGGAACTCCGGGTGGATCTCATCCACCCCCGGGGCCCGGCCACCGAGGAGCTTTTTAACCACCTCAGCGACCTCTGCCCTAGAGATAGGCGAGTCCACCCCCAAGTCCCCAGACTCTGCTTCCTATTTGGAAGGCATGTCGGTGGGATTGAGGGGGTCTTCGAAGTATTCCTTCCCCCGACCCACAACGTCCCGAGCTGAGGTCAGCAGTGCACCATCCCCACCATAAACAGTGTTGATGCTGCACCGCTTCCTGAGACGCCGGATGATGGACCAGAACCTCCTCAAAGCCGCCCAAAAGTCGTTCTCCATGGCCTCGCCAAACTCCTCCCATACCCGAGTTTTTGCCTCAGCGAACCGAAGCCGCGTTCCGCTTGGCCCGCCGGTACTCATCAGCTGCTTCAGGAGTATGGCAGGCCCAAAAAGGCCCAATAGGACTCCTTCTTCAGCTTGACGGCATCCCTCACCGCCGGTGTCCACCAGCAGGTTTAGGGATTACCGCCGCGACAAGCACCGACCACCTTACAGCCACAGCTCCGGTCAGCCACCTCCACAATGGAGGCACGGAACATGGCCCATTCAGACTCAATATCCCCCGCCTCCCCCGGGACGTAGGCAAAGTTCTGCCGGAGGTAGGAGTTGAAACTCCCTCTGACAGGGGATTCCGCCAGACGCTCCCAGCAGACCCGCACTATACGCTTGGATCTGCCAGGTCTGACTGGCTTCCTCCCCCACCAGCGGAGCCAACCCACCACCAGGTGGTGATCGGTTGACAGCTCTGCCCCTCTCCTCACCCGAGTGTCCAATACATGCGGCCACAAGTCCGATGACACGACCACAAAGGCGATCATCAAACTGTGGCCTAGGGTGTCCTGGTGCTAAGTGCACATATGGACACCCTTATGCTTGAACATGGTGTTCATTGAACACAGAAGTCCAACAACAAAACACCACACGGGTTCAGATCGGGGGGGCGTTCCTCCCAATCACGCCACTCCAGGTCTCACTGTCATTGCCTACATGAGCATTGAAGTCCCCCAGCAGAACAAGACAGTCCCCGGGAGGAGCGCTCTCCAACACCCCTTCCAAGGACTCCAAAAAGGGTGGGCATTCTGAACTGCCGTTTGGCACATAAGCGCGAACAACAGTCAGGACCCGTCCCCCCACTCGAAGGCGAAGGGAGGCTACCCTCTCGTCTACTGCGGTAAACCCCAATGTACAGGCGTCCAGCCAGGGGGCAATAAGTATGCCCACCCCAGCTCGGCGCCTCTCCCCGTGAGCAACTCCAGAGTGGAAGAGGGTCCAACCCCCTTCGAGGAGACTGGTTCCAGAGCCCAAGCCGTGCGTCGAGGTGAGTCCGACTACATCTAGTCGGAACTTCACAGCCTCGCGCACCAGCTCAGGCTCCTTCCCCACCAGAGAGGTGACATTCCATGTCCCTAGAGCTAACTTCTGCAACCGAGGATCGGACCGCCAAGGTTCCCGCCTTCGGCCACTGCCCAACTCACACTGCACCCGACCCCTATGGCCCCTCCTACAGTTGGTGAGCCCATTGGAGGGGGGACCCATGTGCCTTGTTCGGGCTGTGCCCAACCAGGCCTCATGGGTGCAGGCCTGGCTACCAGGCGCTCGCCATCAAGCCCCACCCCCAGGCTTGACTCCAGGGGGGGGGGCCCGGTGACCCGTGTCCAGGCAAGGGAAATCATGGATCCAATATTTTGCTCATCATTAGGGGTCTTGTGAGCTGCACTTCATCTGGTTCCTCACCCAGGACCTGTTTGCCTTCGGTAACCCTACCAGGCACATAAAGCCCTGGGCAACTTAGCTCCTGGGATCATTGGAACACGCAAACCCCTCCACCACGATAAGATGTCGGCTCCAGGAGAGGCTTTGTAAATCTTGTGCTTTAAAAAGGTTGCCGACTTCTGGATTAGGTTGTCACCTTATTTGAAGCACATAGGGCAAGTTATTTTAGGGCATGGCCAACCCACTTTTGCCCGCGGACTCAATATATAACATCATTTTTGTGTACATACATATGGTAAAGTTTATATGATAAATTATGCACAGTATGACATTAATTATTACTATATTTAACGTTGGTAAAGTACATTGTACATTATTATACAGTAGTGTAATCTATCGAATGAAAGAGATTCTGACATTTGAACCTAATTCTCAAAGGATGATATAGCAATGAAAAAATATTATGCATCAAGGGATGACGGAGAAATGATAATCATGCATTTTACACCCCTCAAATGACAGAGGAGAGAGGTAAGGAGCATGTGCTGATACAGCATGTTGCCACACCCACCACACAATGAACCACCTCTGGGACGAGAACCCGGGTGCAGCCATGCAGCGGGTGATACCTCAGCACCACAATAGTTTGAATGGGGTAGAACAGTGTGAAGTTTTTCCTGGTGGCTGGAGTGCCAATCCTGCCACCAATCCTTAAATTTTCCCTGGAAGTTGGAGGACCTGCTTGCAGGGCTGGATGTAGGCAGGGGCGGATTAACGCACAGGCTAGATATGGCTTAAGCCTAGGGGCCCCACGTGTGCCAGCCTGCAAGGGGGCCCCCATTGGCGCGGAGCGGGGCTGGGTTGGGGGGCCCACAGACTACTGTAGCCTAGGGGCCTCCGTACACCTTAATCCACCCCTGGATGTAGGTTAACATCATACCCAGGATGATGTGAGTGAATGGTGTATGTTTCCTGCAGTTGGCGCCCTTTCCTGGGTTGTTCCCTGCCTTGCACCTATAGCCTCTGCGATAGGCTCCAGACCTCCTGTAACCCTGAATAGGACAAGCAGTTACAGTGGATGAATGGATGCATGCATGCATGCATGTTTGTGTCGAGTTGGGTGGTCTTGGTGGTGTTCTAGGATAAGGAGGAGTGTACCCCCCCCCTCCCCATATTGTCTCAGGGATATAATTTTTTTTTACATATTTTAGTTTAGTTTAGTTAAGTTAAGCTTTAATAAGTAGCAATCGTGTCACACAGATTCACTGGTGTACTGACTGCTTGCCCACTTACGTGTCGGAGGTCCAAACAGAACTGCATCCAGTGCTTTAAGATTGAGCTTTTGCTTGTGTCGCTGATCCAAGATCTTCAGCTGGGACGTCATGAACGAAGGCTCATTGGAAGCTATTCTGAGATGGGTTGCATGAAAAACAATAAAAAACACACCAAAATTGACAGTTTCTTGCAACTGCATAGTCACATGTGGTATTACACTTGTCCTATTTTAGATTAATGGATATTTCAGTGTGTTTAGTAGTAGGCTGCTGTCATAGACCTTTGTAGGACTTAGGGTGTACTCACACTAGCTGATCTGTACCGTGTCTGAGCATATTTGACCCCCGAAGTCCAGTTCATTTGACTCAATAAACATAAAACTTCCCGCACAGCACACTATGCTTCATTAATTATCTAATTCAGGGGTCTCAAACTCCTACAAAGTCCTACACAGTTTTTGGTTCACCCTCATTTAATACACCTGGTTCAACTCCTTGTGCTAACTACCACACAGCTCTTGAGCTGAATCATTTGTGGTGAAACAGGGAAAGAACTAAGCTACACAGGGCTCCAGCCCTCCAGTACTGGAGTTTGAGACCCCTGATCTAATTGCTTAAAACACGGTGTAGCATAATAACCTGTGGGTTCAGATTCTAGCTTGATGATGTTGATGTGTTTTATATATTATAAGATTTTGCTATATTATAAGAACCCTCAAAAAACAGAGAAAGAAAAAATAATGAGTTGCTGGTTAGGGAACCTTGCGCTTGTTTATTTCTGGTAAAATATAGCACTTCACTATCAATTTGAAATGGTGTGAAATACCTGGTTATTACAATAATGTTGTATACATAGTGTTTTCTTATCATTCTTGTTATGCAAGTCTGTATCTCTCTATTTACCGTCTCACTCTGTAAACATTACATCTATACCGTGTTTATGCTGTGGGATCCCTTCATCACCAATAGTAACTGCATTTCTGGATTATACTAATGAAAAAGATGAAAACTACTCTCTCTTGGGCTAATTTGATGAGACAGGATACTTGATTTAACTTTTAGTCTGATCCCCATTCACACAATTTTTAACTGTTGTAGCAACTGGGTGACACTTTACTACTTCTGGTTAGAAAAAGCATATGGGTCAATCATTTTAGAGAGCTGCAATGTAAGACTACTCACCGAGGTAGAGTGTTCCCGTTCACTCTAAACTCTCTAAAATTTGTCTCATATTGGGGCAGTTCTACAGACTCCTTCAGCCACAGGACTGTGTCCTCTGTTGTCCAGTTGTGAACTGGAAAAAATATGGAGACAGCAGCCATTTTTGTTCAGCTCTAGTCTAGGAGAAAAAGTAATGTGTTTGAGCCAGCACAGGAATTATCAGCTTTCATCAAGTCAAAGCTGCTCTGGTGTATTAAGTAAGTGGCCATATAATTCAAATGAAATCAACGGAATCAACGTTGTTCTAGCAATATGATGTTGTATGAGCGGTCTCCTGTGTAGGACTGGATCCCAAGGGAAACTTTTTTGTTTATTCTGTTCCCACCCACTGTCCACAATTGGTTGACATAATGTAACACCACGGGGTCAGAAAGCAGGACTAATTATGCATTTACAGACATGCTTTGCACCACACGGTGCATATATTTAACTAGTGTAAACTGATATGTGTATTCATGTATGTATGTTGTAAATATTAAATATCTTAACTATGTAATGTTTGCCATAGAATATGTGTATTTCATTAGCACGTAACTGAATGTTGTGAAAATTCCTAGCTTCCCTGTCTGTGCCACTGCTAGTGTTAGACCAATAGTGGATGTTAATAAAGAATGCTACTTTCATTTTAAAAGGGCTGTTATCTCCTTTATCAAAAGAACTCACACACTCGGCACAATACATTTATTTCCGCTCTGTATGCAGGTCAGCTGCATTGAAAACATTCTGTGTCCTTGAATAAACAGGTCAACAACATTTTAAGTATGCGACAGTGTCATGCCCCAATAGTGCAGATCTTCTTGTGTGCCACGCCCCTCATCTACCCTGTGTGGACTCCCCGTGTTACCAGCTGTTTCGAGTCATGTTGATTGCTGTTGTGTATTTAAGTCCGCGTTAGAGTATGTTTCCCCAGTCCAGTCATTGACATCAGTCCTGCATGTTACTCCATGATCCTGATTTGTCTTCTCCCTTAATACCAACACGTTTGATTTTGTTTTGTATGGATGACGTTTGAAGTGTGTGGTTACCTTAAGCTATAATATATTTGGACTGTGTTCTATAAAGTAGTGATAGTAAAATACTGGGCCTGTTACACTTCTTGTTCCCAGCTTTGTCATGTGTAAAACATTGATACAATAAACCCAGAAGCAGTTTCATCTAATACACATTGTGAATCAATTTCTTCACTATCCCTGTTCTGTTAAAGCTCCTTTTTAATTTATAATTTTAACAGGTTTTCCTAAGAGAAAGTTATCACCCAAGTACTAATACCTCAGAACCTCTACTGTGGAAAACAGGTGAGAAGAAAATTGATACATAGTACAGGGACATGATAAGAAACAGCATGTCTACAGAGTGGGTGACACTTAGACCAAATGTGAAAGACACCAACAGCTACAGTAATCATCTGGTCTGCAGAATGCTGGCTGGTTAGATGAATCAGACGAGCCAGCTAAGTCTGGTTGAAAGGGGTCAAATTGTGCCACAACAGCAAAGTCTTACACTCTGTGAGTGTAACACAGAGTCAGCATGCTAGTTCATATAGCTAAAACATGCCGCTGCAGGAGATGAACCCACGATACTGCATTCTAGCCCGATAGCCCAGTTAGTTTCAAGGAACTTTTGATCCTGAATTCCAAAAATGTTGGAATTCTAAAAATGTTATTAATCCCCCTTAATTATATGGGAAATAAACACAACTTGCTGGAATTTGAATCCATTCAACGCTTTGCTCTGAAGGCACAGATTCCCAATTTAAGGGGTTCCAGACCTAAATGTCTGGTGTCTGCTCCAATTGAGACCTCAGCCTGCATCATCAGCATTTTGAGATTAACAGGTGAAGGGGTGATAGCCCCAATTTCTGGTGCACTCTCTCTTTCTCTGTCTTATACCTTCAGATGTCTTCCAGCCCTTCCACAGCTCTTCCACAGTAATATGCTGGTCCTCTCGATGAAGGTTACTGTGCTTATTTGTTTGCTGCTGCTTCATGTCTTCTATAATGAACTGAAAATAAACAAAGCACAATTGAGACTGGTTGATTGTCATATTACGGCTAAGAGCAAACAGATTCAATCTGAGAGAGCTACTCAAAAATGACTTAAATACTGTCCCCTGCTTTCATTGCTCTCTGATGTTTTTCAGCAACACCAGATAGGAGAGAAAAGACAATGACATAAAGCTGCCATACCTCTAGAGTACAGCTGGATGATTTGGGGAAAATATCTAATAACAATATTTATCACATATAATGCAATTTGATTTAATTTGCGATATAATTTTTTATATGTCAATATTCATTGTGTTTAAAACATACACTGCAATAAATGTCCGTGAAATTAACAGAGAAATTCTGTAAAATAACGACATAAAAAAACTGTAAAAGGAAAAACAAAGGAAAAGGGGAAAAAGCAGTGTATATTTTATATATTTGACATTAATATTTTGTAAAATATTTTTCCAGTAAAAATATGTTTTTTTTTGTTTTTTTTTGGTACAGTTAACAAATTACTGTAGTTTAAACGCATACAAACTGTAATATAAAAACCAATACAATAAAATTACAACATAACATTGTGAAAATAATATTTTTAAAATCAGGTCCACTTTGTTTATACTGAAAGAAACAAATTAATATTTTGTGCTTTACAGATGAGAAACAGTAAAACTTTAAATGATATATCAACACTTGCTTTTTGCTTCGTGCGTTACGAACCATCAAGAAATAGCCCACACAAGTCAGGATTTTCTGGTTTGTCAGTCAGCTTTTGAAATTGCAGTACATTCGGGGCTACCGTCAGAACTTCACCTCGTGGCAACACCTCTGGTCAGTTGATAAGAAGGTATTTTTCCACTGAGGTGATAAAAAAATACTGTAGCTCCAGCGGGGCGCTGTGGTTACCAGAATAATTTTGTAAAAATTACGGTAAAAATGTAAACAGATTTACAAAACAGCCTGTTAATTTCACATACCAAAACGGTAACATTTTACATAGTGAATTTGTAGATTCAACATCTTCTTTCTGTTAATTTAGCAGGGCCATACTGCTGTTGTACCAGTTATTTCAGTATAATTTACATCTAATCGTTGCTTATTCTACACTGAATCCAAGTAAACTTTACATGTAGTGGTTGTTTTACATTGAAATCAAGTCAAATTTACAAATGTTTCTGTAAAGTTGTTTACACTTGTACAGTATTTTTTACAGAATAATTCTGGTAACCACAGCTGCCAGTGCTGACTCAGCATTACCCTACCACATGAGATACTATCAAAATAATAACTGGTCTATACTCTAATGCAAGGATGAGAACTTAAAGATATGATTTTGTTCCAACGTGTATTTATTACTTTTAAATTAGCAGAGAACAGTGAAACTATTATCACAAGAGCTGTTTGATTAAGCCCTTTGATGCCATTAGTGTTAATAACAGCAGCGAATCTATCATCCTCAACCAAAAAGCCGTGATGTGCCTAACAGAGTGGCTGCTCTGTCCTGAAATCACAGCTGAAAAGATTTCAAACACATTATGCATTTTATAAAAAGTAAAATAGATAGATGTTGGTGGCACAACCAAGTATTAAGTTTGGGGGGGGGGGGGGATTATTTTGTCACATGACTGATATGGGTGTTACTGATTTTTTTTCCTTCAATAACAAATGATCATTTACAACGCATGTATTGTGTTTACGCTGGTTGTCCTTTGTATTATCCTAAATTTGTTTGAAAACAATTAAATGTTATGAATAATAAAAAAGAGGGAATTAGAAAGGGGCCAAATAATTTGTCAGGACACGTATGTGTCATAACACGCTGTCCACGTATAAGCCTGTGTGCTTGTAATCACAAGGTCGCCGGTTCAAACCCAGCCTCAGCATATCTGTGGGTCCTTCAGCAAGGCCCTTAACCCCCAGCTCCCTGGGCGCCCCAACAGGTGGCTGCCCTTCGCAGACAGCTTGTTCTACAAGGAGCAAGTTGATGGAGGCGTAAAAAGAATTTCCCCATGAGGGACAATAAAGGTTAAAGGTTAAATTAATGTGTAGAGTATTTTACATACCTGAAGTTTATTATTATTATGCTACAAGCAGTGTTTCTTGTGAGGAAGAATTGCTAGGTAATTGGTTTAGTGGTTAATTAACATTACTACGTAGATTGATATTTGGTCGTAGAGGGCGTGCTAACATTATAGAAAAAGAAAGAATGGGCCTGCTTACTAAAAGCAATGTATAAACTGTGGTCAAGGTCAAAGCCAAAGTCCATCAATAAGTCAGTTCTCTAAGCCAGCCTGTACTACTACTACTACAAACTAGAAAAGATGCTTCTGGAATGACAAAAATGTTTTCCCTGGACAGTCCTGTGACCCTCCACAGTATTACTTCCTCATTTGCGCTACGATTAACGTTTTCGGTGACAAAACATTAAGAACCGTAATAGATACACCAATGGTACAACTGAGTAACTACCATATAATGTTAAACAGAGAGACGCATACAGACACCTATAGACACCATTGTGATTTTAGTCTAAGATCAGATGTTATTGGTGCCTGGATTGTTTTTAACTGTACACACACAAACTCCACTGTGCCCCTGTTGGGCAGTTTTTTTATACCAGCTAACCGGGGTGTACATAAAATGTGTCTGACGTATCATATTCCATATTTATGAAAACAAAACACTATGAAACAAACAAAAATTTGGAAACACATACAGTATTTATTATAATGCTAGACTTAAGGTGAGCATGCATTCCAATTGCAAAGAAGCTCAGAACATATATTCCCCAGATGGCTCCATCACCCCCTCTTGCCCATATAATCATGACATCACACACCCTTAATGTTTTTGAATTAGTCAAAGAACAAGAGTTAAAAACACTAATAACTAAAACCAAGTCCCCTGGACCCAATCCCCACTCAACTTCTAAAAGAATCTCTGGGAATTCTGGGAAGACCTATAACTGCCATAATAAATGTGTCCCTATTCTCAGATGATGTGCCTGACCAATTTAAAGTAGCAGTAATCAGACCACAACTGAAGAAAGTTTGGATCCGTAGGAGTTCAACAATTACAGACCTGTCTCTGATGTACCATTTTTGACAGTCACTGTTCAACTTCAGTCATATTTGGTGAGACACAAGATGAAACTGAATAGATTCCAGTCAGGCTTCTGTCAGGGACACAACACTTAACTAAATTTGTAAACAATGGCAATTGATGCTGACAATGTGACTGTTAACATACTTCTGGACCTTAGTGAGGCCTTTGACCATTCATAGGGAATTTGATGTTGGGTTGTATGGAAGGGTGCTGAAGTGGTTTAAATTTGACTAATTAATATCAATATGTTCAAGTGTCAAATAACTGCACTCCATTGTCAATGTCACCAGTCAAATATGGATTACCACACGGATCAGATCTTGGTCCTATATTGTTCTCTCTTTATATGCTGCAATTAGGCAACATAAGTAAACATAATCTTAATTATCTCTCCTATGCAACAACACCCAAACATACACTTCAGTTATGCTGAATGATACATCATCTATTGTCAGTTTAGCTAATTGCTTTAATGAAGTTAAGACCTGGATGACTGAAAAATGTTGTCACTAAATTCAGAGAAAACCGAGCTTCTGTTGTTTGGAGACAAGTCTATGGGTAGGTCTACTATAATCCAAAAGGTCTGCTATAATATAAGACTATAAGCCCATAACTTAGACATTACCTTAGATACATGCCTCTCATTTAAATAATGTGAATGCAGTGTTTTTTTTCTCCCTACTTGGAAGTTTTTGAATTATTCTGTATAAATGATCCAGCAATATATCACAACACAGGCATGTAAAGTGCCTTTGGGTGACACTGTTGTGAAAGGCGCTATGAAAAAATTAATTGTATTGAATGTCATTCCATTAATCTGATTTTTTTTTTAAAAAGGTTTGAATGTAAGTTATCAAAATTATTTAATAATTGATTAATAGAATGAAACCATGATAAATTAATTAAACATTTCAGATGAATCAAATCATTCCTTCAATAATCATAATTCATCTAATTGAATTGCCTTAGGAACAAAGTTATACACCCCCATCCCCCATGATAAATCTTCCCACTGGCTACTGCTACCGATGAAATTTGTGGAGCAGGGGGCTGGCGATATATAAAATATGTACTTTATTTTAGAAAAGTTAGAAAATTGTCTTGTCCCCCACAGTTTGAGTAACACTGACCTGTACAATATTCCTGGGAAGTTTGAAAACAATTTTGATATTTAGAGAGTCACACGGAGGCTGCTGCAGCCTCCCTTTCCATCCTCTGCTGCCACCTAGTGCTGCTTCCTCAATTTTTGGCAATTTGTATATCATCTGTAGTTGTTTAGATATACTGTAGATATAGATGACAAAAGGAGCTAAACTAGAAGCGCAGCTCTTTGCAGTCCTGCTGCTTGTTGATCACATTAAATAAGATTTAAAAAAATCTAGTTTAGATAACTATTATTAACTAAATTTAACTTAGTCCTATTGGTTTGCAGGTAGCTTATTGGTTGCATTTGAACTTGAAGCAGGACATTTTACACTCAATCACAGTAAGGGAGACTGGGGATGATTGTAATATGGGTTAGTTGTAGCAAAGTCTATTTCTCAAATTAGGAACGAGGAACAAATCACATAACTTACTCTGCACATTGTAGGATCACACATGCACATATCACAGGGCCTAAATTCCAGGTGGCCTGAGACAAGGCCGAGCCTGGTACGAGA